GCCGAGCGGTCTCACAAACACTAGCGTAAATTATATTGTTGAAAATATCCCATTTAATTTTGCGTGACAGCTGGTAGTGTTAGTGAAATGCACCGTATGCGTACACGTCCGCAGAAAGGCTTACTGGAAGTGGTGCATGAACCTAGGAGCGGGACAACGGCCAATCTTGGAACATTCAATTTCCATGATTTCACAAAAAATTTCATAACTTCCAACCGATTTCATCCATTAAAGCCTCATTTTCTCCAGTTTTTAATGTACTTTAAGAATAAATTATGGAATGATTTTTTGAATCTTTTTATCCCATTAAAAATGTTGATTAAAACAAGATTTTTATGGAAAATTCGCAGGAAAAATAAAAAAAAATGCTGTAAATTTTTAAATGACTTCAAAATTTAAATATTTAATTAAGACATAATATTCTAGTGAACGATAGCAAATTTATTAAGCTTCATTTTCATAAAAAAAGATTTAAAATTGGTGCACTAGTTTCAAAGATATTGACATTTTAGTAATCGTACTTTTGTCCAAAATTCAAAAAATCAAAATTTTTGTATATCTCAAAAATGGCTCTACTTTAATTTTTTCTTACCACGGCATTGAATTCAGCGTAGGATTTTGCATTAGAAACGTTGGTCAACCACTAAAGTTCACACTTTTTATGTTGTTTTGTAAACTAGTGTAATCGCAACGTTCGTTGTTCGAGTCCAGTCGGCAACCTTTTTCCTATTTTTTTTCGACATAATTAATTTACCTCACTAATACACTCTACATTTTTCGGTCTCCAATTTTCTTGCATTGGACCGCAGCTAGGTATATCGCATCCTCGGTTCATGCGGTCTCCACTTACATCCTCTGATGATGAATCCCACATAATTGTAAGCGAATCTTACATCCACCGGTTGGGTGTATGTATTTCTAAGTGTGTATATATCTATTTCGCATTGAAATCCAGCTCCTGTCCTTGCATTTTTTCAAACAAGCCTACGGTAATGATGGAAATAATTAACTAGGAAAATATTGGCTTTTATTTTATAATGGATGATTTATGACCGGTTTTAGATTCATGCGTATTCACTTAAAATGTGACAAGAAAGAACTATAATACCTTTCATCTGGTTCTTGTTGCATCCAATTCGATCCAGTGGTTGCTGAAAAAGGTCATTTTGCAAGAGGCTGCACGAAGCAACCAAGTATGCTCTGCAAAAAAGAAGACGGAAAGGATCATACGACGGGAGGATTCAAATGTCTAGCATACAAAAAAAAGCAATGGCAGGCCAACAGTAAAGGAGGTAACCCAAATAAACCTCAATCATTGAGACACTTTTCAGCAACTGTTGTGGCAGTCGACAACAGAAACAAAGTGCGACGTTGCAATCATTGCGGAACCGTATCGAGTCCTTCCATATAACGGTAACTGGGTGGCTGATAGAGCTGGGATGGCGGCTATACAAGTTATGGGGGGATACCCTATTCAAGAAGTGGTTGCGAGCTCATACGGAGGTTTCGTGTTCGCCAAAATTAACGGAATCTTCATATGTAGTTGTTACGCACCCCCCAGATGGACGATCGAGCAGTTCCATAAGATGCTGGATGGACTTACCGAGGAGCTGATTGAACGACGACCGGTAGTCATCGGAGGAGACTTCAATGCTTGGGCCATGGAGTGGAGAAGCAGATATTCCAATGCAAGAGGGTACAGTCTGCTGGAAGCTCTGACAAAACTGGAAGTTATGCTGGCCAGCGAAGGCACCAGCAGCACTTTTCGCAGAGATGGCTGGGAATCCATTATAGACGTTACTTTCTCTAATCCACGTCGCTGGTGACGAACATGGATTAGAGAGTGTGCGAAGGATATACCCATAGCGACTATCAGGCGATCCGATATGGCATCGGCCAACGGAATACTGTGGCAGTACGGAGGACTAGAACTTGTGACCGGAAGTGAAGACGAAGGCTTTTGACAAGGATATTTTAGTTGAGGCACTCCGTGTGGACAGGAGTCCCGCAGATCTGAACGTGGACGAGCTGAAAGAAACGTTAATGAAAGCATGTGACACGACCATGCAGAGGAAATTGAAGCCAAAAAACAGGCGGCGTCCAGTTTACTGGTAGAACGAGGCACTTAGCACCCTCCGCATTAGTTGTCTCAGAACTAGAAGACGTGTTCAGAGAGCAAGAACAGAAGCAGACAGAGAGGAACGAAGAGAAGTGTTTCGAGCAACCAGGGCCGCACTTAAACGAGGGATAATGCAGAGCAAGTTAAACTGCTTTAAAGAGCTGTGTCGAGAAGCTGATGCCAACCCCTGGGGCGACGCATACCGAGTCGTGATCGAAGGTCCAACGAGGCCCACTGAAATGTGCCCAGAGAAGCTTAAATCATCGTGGAAGGGCTTTTCCCGAAGCACGACCCAATGACCTGACCACCTACACCGTACGGGAAACTCGAAGCAGTGTCGAAAGGGTTGAAGGTGAAGAAAGCTCCCGGTCCGGATGGAATCCCCAACGTAGCATTGAAATCGGCGATCCAGGCGTCCCCGGACATGTTCAGGATGGTGCTGCAGAAATACCTGGACGATGGTCACTTCCCTGACAGGTGGAAGATACAGAAGCTAGTGTTGCTGCCGAAACCAGGAAAACTGCCGGAGGATCCAGCATCGTACAGGCCTATATGCCTGCTGGATACACTCGGAAAACTCTAGGAGAGGATCATCCTAAACAGGCTGACGAAATACATGGAGAGTGAGCACGGATTGTCGGAGAGGCAGTCCGAATTCCGGAAAGGGAGATTGACGGTAGATGCAATTCGAACAGTGGTCGAGAGAGCTGAGAAGGCGACCAAACAGAAGCGGAGAGGAGTTCGATATTGCGCCGTGATAACGATCGACGTCAAGAATGCGTTCAACAGCGCCAGCCGGGAGGCCATTGCCGAAGCACTGCATAGAATGAGGGTCCCTCGCTACCTGCGGAAGATCCTGAGGAGTTATTTCCAGAACCGACAGAGAGGAATTTCCAGACATGGGACAGAGATCGATTAGGATCACAGCGAGAGTTCCACAAGGCCCCATCCTTGGTCCAACGCTCTGGAACGGGATGGACAACGGCATGCTAACGCTGAAGCTGCCCAAAGGAATTGAGATCGTTGGCATTGCGGACGACGTCGTCTTGACGATAACAGGTGAGACGCTGGAAGAGGTGGAAGTGTTGGAGACCGAGGCGATCGACATAATTGGTTACTAGATGCAAGGATCGAAGCTGCGGATAGCCCACCACAAAACGAAATTGCTATTTGTTAGTAACTGTAAAGCGGTACAGCGTGTTGCCAGTGTGTTGTCTTCGATACTGATGTATGGAGGTCTAGCTTGGGTTGCAGCACTGGAAACGAAGCAGAACCAAAGAAAACTGAGCATTACGTTCTGGCTCATGGCCATGCGAGTCGTGAGTGCGTACAGAACCATCTCGTCGGAAGCAGTATGCATTATCGTCGGTACAATCCCTATCGGCATCATCCTGGTGGAGGACACCGAGTGCTACAGTACAGTACACACACACACACATTTTTTGATAAATTCACCAATATGGACACACGATCTTCATTTTTCAGTTTCTCGAAAGATCACATATAATCGCAGATTATTTTTTGCTATAATCTTCTGTACACATGTATATATGATGCCGAATTTCTTAATAAAATGCGTTTGAGTGCTCATGACAACCTCCCAAATAGCAAGTTATAAAAAGAAATGAGTATACTTTAAAAGTTCCCTAATAGACACTGAAGAGTTAAAATGGATTTTCGGTAAACTATGAATGAGAAACATTTTTAATTCAAGAACAGTTTATGCATGCACAGTAGGTCTCCCTGTCCGTATTAGGTATGTGTGACGCATTTTCGATGTGAAACAAATATCAAATAGACAAGAAAAATGATTAAGGTATATCCATCATTTTTGAGGATGCTTTCATGAAGTGGCTTCTGCTTTTCTGCTCAATATACCTAATAAGTGATCTACCCTATTCAGTTTTATCAAATATCAAATTCAGTCGATTATATATTCAGTCGATAAAATTTATAATATGCACGAAAGCCTCAAAGTTATGTGGACTATTTATATTTTTTTAATTACTACACACAAAACTATCTATCTATCATCATCATCGTGATAAACATAACAGCTTTGCTGTTATAATAATAACAGAAACCTATCCATTTATGCGATGGGTAGAACCGTCCACCCACCGCTGTTTTCGACTGTTCTTCAACGAATTACGCTAATTTTGGTGATTAGTGTCATACCATAACCATAACAGTGCAATTGGTTGAAGAACAGCCGATAAATAGCGGTGGGAGGACAGTAACACCCACCGCATATATTATGGAGGGGTTACTGTGCTCAAATCTTCTTTAGCATTCGTTTTCTTAATGTTGGTTGCCTTGAACGATGATAAGCTCAATTGAAAAAGGAATTTTTTGTTCAAATTATTTTCCTAATCACACAATATATTCATTATAAAGTTTACTATAACATATTTCCATTTTACTCAATCAATATCGGTCTCTTCCGTACAACGAAAACATTATTTTCTAGAGACAGTTTAAACACTCTTGGTAATGTAACTACTCTTTCGAACCGAACGAGTATCACGAGCTTTTCCAGTGTGGAAGGTGTGCTCACTGGTACAGAATCTAATGTATTATAAATGTACAATGTCGGAAAGGAAAAGTTGAAAACCTCAATCAATTTCCGTCTATCTCTTTAATTGACACCTACCGTAATCTCTCCTGGTGAAGAAAAGTGGTGCTTAAGCCACACGCTATTTCCTGTGAACTGTTTCGTTTGCCTTGTGTTCTTGTGTAAATTAATTATATTCATGCGTTAAAAATGTATACATTTCTACTGCTGTTTGTTTTAGTCAACATTTATCATACGGTGATGAAAATAGCACCCAATATATGTGTGCATGTATCTATTTATTTTCTACTTCTTTACTCTCCATAGGCCCTCGAACAAGCGAGACGATATGACAGCCTTGCGAACCAATGCAAAAGTGTGTCACCATCGCAGGATTTGGGATATTTTGTTCGTAGCCTACCAGTCCCATCCAATGCCCAGCGGATCCCCAAGAAATCATTCGCGCCACCACAATCAGGAGCCCAAAGTGATGGAGAAGAACTTCAGGAATATGGTGGTGGAATGCAGGTAGGTAACTAAGAAACTTAAATTTCATTAGATTTTTTCTCCGTTTTTGTATAGTCTTGGTGCAATAATACAACTGAATAAGAACAAGCATTTTGAAAAGAGTATAGAGTGATTCCAGACGCAAATGATTTTTTTTTCGATTTGATTTCGCTGAAAATTTTCAGAAACGTTGCTCATGACTAAAAATTCCATTTTGCAGCTTCAGATCACTATTTTAAATCGAGCCTTAATTTTGAAAAGGGCCTATATAAAAATGGTAAGCTTATCTTCAGAAAACTATTACTCGAAAAATGTTTGTCCAATCGATTTGGTACTTTCGGTAATGTTGTAGGGCACATCTGGAACTATTTGAAAAAAATATTGCACACTAAAACGTAAATGTAGACAATTTAAAACAATCATCAGAATTGTCTCATTTCAATAAAAAAAAGGTAATTCATATCATATGAAGATTCGGGACGAATCTTTCCATAAAAGGGAGAAGTTATCAACATCATCCTGTGCTAAGGGTGACTCCAGCATCCTCCCATGAATTGCCATTAATCAACAATTTCACATTTCCAACTCTCAAAATATCTAAGGAAATGTAAATCTTCACCAGAGTTCTTAGAACATCTCATATCTTCAACATTGAACTTAAGAGGCATTACAAAATAACTGTTATCAGCAAATCTCACATCGCCGGTCTCCAAAGCATCAACATATCCGTCTCTAGAAAATATGAATCATTCGTACCCTCAACATTGAACTTGAAAATCACACTGATCAGTGAATGACTTTCGAAGCATCAACATCCTTCTCATACGGGAAATGTTTCATAAACAATCGTAACCAGCAGAGTTGACAAAAGCACATCGAGACGCCATTAACCAGCGGAGTAAACAGAAGCACATCGTCGGAACATTGAAAGATTCAAGTTTGCTTTTGTCAGATAAAAGAAAAAGTAAAAAGTACAATTGTGTCTTAAATAAAAATTAAGTAGTTTCTGCTTAATTTCCCCAAGATGTGTGTCTCGGACGCTTTGGTGACCGTGATTCATGACATTCTCGTTGATGCAGTTTCATTTGATGCAAAACAGCCAAACCCAACAACCAAACCCAAAATGTAAAAAAAAAAAAAAAACAAATGAGACGTTCAAACCGACACCAGATGCTTGCTATGTTACTTTGGAATAAAAGTTCGAGCAGTTTTTTTCTTGTTTTCTACAATGCTGAACGCACTGCATAGACAATAATTCCATACTTCTTTGTTTACATCAGGGGCCTGACTGGCGGCCATGTTTTTTATGTCATCATCTGCTCTTGTCTTTCTGCTTACAACACGATTTTCCGTTCCTTTCCACCATGTATAACGTCAGGCGAGCCGTATTTAAATAAGGCCGATGAGCATTTCCAGCCCAAAACGCAAACCGGTTGGACATGAGTGTTTCCGATTTGAATGAAACATTTCTCACGTGTTCGCTGCTACTAATGGTTGCATTTTTCATTTAAATATGATTTTTTGCTCCAGAGTAACTTTTGAAAAGGGCGTATAAAAAAATGGATTATTTTTTTTTCAAAAAATCATAACTTGAAAACTATTGATCTGATCAAAATGGCATATGAGAAGAAGTTTTAGGTAGTTAAATTATCTTTGCGGAAAAAATACACTGAAAGAAAAACTTAGTAAATTAGTATTTAAAAAAACGTAAAACGATGATTATCTCAAAACACCCCCCCTTCGATCTTTATAAATTTTTTTTTTCAAGAAAACTGAAAAAATGCCCTAACTTTTGGTGAAGAGTGTATGCTGGTAACTTTCTTAAAAAAAAATCTATAATTTTTGAAATTTTTGTTGGTTTTTACAAGTTGGTAAAATTGCATATTTTTTAGTAAAATAATAATTTATTTGGGTTCTAGGCATAATTTTCAAAAACTTTGTTTATAAAAACTTTTTTCCTAAGTCCAGCCGTTCTCAAGTTAATGCAATTTAAAAAAAATATTATAATAATTTTCTATATATTGGGCCATTTTCAAATGTTAGTCGTGATGTCCAGCAACGAGATGTTTTTCCATGAATATATATTAAAAAAACAAACAATTCATTCTCAAATATGGTAGCTGTCAGACTTACCCGTTTCTATTTAGACACAGCGGAAAAGAAACAAGTTTATAAGTAAATACTCTCAAATATACCCAAATAATCAACAAACCCACTCATGTGCCTTTTTTCTGTCCTCTATTAGTTGTATACCTGGATAGAATTGTGTATGTCATAACAGAGGCTCAAAACATAAACAGGTAAACAAATATGTTATTAAACATGTAATTGAGATAAATTCTCTAGGTACTTCTCTGACGTATACCATATTGTGCCTTAAGAGCTCATCCCGCGATATCACAACTACATAAAAAGGCACCCCGTGGAGGTTTCTTACACTCACACTTAAAAAAGTTTGCTATAATCAATTGTACCTAATGAAGATAGGTATAATGTCATATATATATATATTGGGACGTTCTTCACCTGTTCCATTCAGTTCATCTCTCTTAGCGTTTCAAGTTAAAAAGCAAGTAGTTTTTTACGATGGATAACAATTTCAAGTGTTGTAAACCTCTACCTAAATCAAAAAAGTGTTGTTCAGATACAAGAAATTTGTCAGATGGAGTAATAGAAAAATTAAAATGTTTTGGCTGTAAAATACCTCTGGATAGTTCTTTAAAAATTTGTAGTAGATGTCGTCTTCAAGTTTACCGTTTGCCATCAAACAAAACGCCTTCGAATGACGGAATGCAGCAAGATCTGGAACAACCTTCTACCAGTGGTGTACGCTCAACAGCACCCATAGATATCGAGAGTGAATCCATGGTGAATATCATCCCATCGGTTACGTCTCTGGCTTCATCGACTTCAGCAGATTCTGTTGTTAATAGAATCTGTTTGTCCCATAATATTGAGACATTCAACCAAGGCATCATGGGTATCCATGTATCACCGATTACGACAAAGAGGCTGAGAAGCGCGTGTTATCCTCAACAGAAAACCAAAGAAATCATGGATGGGGTTAAGCGACACATATTCGATCTTTCGGAAGATGATGACCAAGGAATCCTCAACGGCAAGGCTAAGGATTACGATGAAATGATGAGCCAACTAAAGGAAAAATACGCAGATCCGGAATGCACTCGAGAAGAAAAGACCCAAGTATTATCCGTATTACCAAAATCTTGGCCTGTACAAAGAATCATGGATGAATTCGGTGTCAACAGATATACTGCAGCACAGGTAAGATTTATATATTTTTTAAACACCATAAAGGAAAAATTAAAAATAATTTTCATTTTCTTTCTTCCCAGGTAAAAGATTTGGTCGCCGAAGATGGAATATTATGTTCCCCTCGTTCCAAAGCAGGACATGGACTGAGAGCAGAGTTAGTAGATACAGTTGTGAAATTCTACGAAGATGACGATATAAGCAGAGTTATGCCGGGCCAAAGAGATTATGTCTCTGTAGTGACGGGTGGTGTACGCCAGGTAATACAAAAACGTCTACTAACAATGTCGCTCAAAGAAACATACTTGCATTTTGCGGAAACCCATAAAGATATCAATATTAGCTTTAGCTCATTTGCAGCCTTACGACCAAAAAATTGTAAACTTCTTAGTAAATCAGGATCTCATAATGTTTGTGTATGTACGATTCACGAAAATGTTAATCTAATGTTGAACAGCCTGAAAAAAGATCGCATATTATGTGATCGCACTATCTATATGGAACAACTTCTTTGCGATTTACAATCTAGAACAGACTTTTGCCATCTTCGAACGTGCATGAATTGTTACGATACGTCATTATCCGAAACAAAATTATTAGAAATATTGGAAGAGAATCAAATATTAGAAGTGTCATTTGAACAGTGGACTACGACAGATAGGTGTAATATTGAGTTGAAAACTTTGCCTTCCGAAGATTTTTCATTTTTCTTTACGGAAAAGTTAGACAAATTAATATATCACGATTTTATAAAAAATAAGCAGGCAGAATTCTTAAAAACAAAAAAACAAACACTAGAAGATGGCGAAGTCGTTGTTATTTGCGACTTTTCTGAAAACTACACATTTGTTCTGCAAGATGAGGTTCAAAGCTATCATTGGAATAATTCTCAATGTACAATTCATCCATTTGTCGTTTATTTTAATGATAATGGTACACTAAACCATTTAAGTTTTGTGGTTATTTCGGACATTTCAAAGCATGACACAGTAGCAGTTCAGTTGTTTATCTCAAAATTATTAGAATTTTTAAAGTCGCAAATAACAGTCCAAAAGTGTATTTTTATGTCAGATGGAGCAGCATCACAATACAAAAACATAAAAAATTTTGCTAGCCTTTGTGGATTTAAAGATAAGCATAATGTAGAAATTGAATGGCATTTTTTTGCAACTTCACACGGCAAAGGTCCTTGTGATGCGATTGGCGGTACCCTTAAGAGAATGGCAACCAGAGCAAGTTTAGCGAAGCAACACGAGCACCCTATAACGAACCCTAAACAACTGTACGACTGGGCAAATAGTCGTAAAGAAGATCTTCAAACAAAAATGTCATTTTGTTATGTTTCTACCGAAGAATACAAAAAGGCTTACACGGAATTTGATCCAATTTTTAAGAAAGTGAAACCAATTCCTGGAACTCGAAAATATCATTGCTATATTCCAGTTTCAAACAACCAAATTGCAGTAAAAATATTCTCTAATTCAAACGATACACCCAAATTATTCAATGTATTCAAATAATATGAGTTGTAAAATAAAATAATAAATATATACTGTTTCTTATCTCAACAAATCTTTCATTTTACCACATCAACGTGTTTCTTTTCCGCTGCGTCTAAATAGAAACGGGTAAGTCTGACAGCTACCATATTTGAGAATGAATTGTTTGTTTTTTTAATATTTATTCATGGAAAAACATCTTGTTGCTGGACATCACGACTAACATTTGAAAATGGCCCAATATATAGAAAATTATCATAATATTTTTTTTAAATTGCATTAACTTGAGAACGGCTGGACTAAGGAAAAAAGTTTATATATGCAAAGTTTTTGAAAATTATGCCTAAAATCCAAATAAATTATTATTTTACTAAAAAATATGCAATTTCACCAACTTGTAAAAACCAACAAAAATTTCAAAAAATATAGATTTTTTTTTAAGAAAGTTACCAGCATACACTCTTCACTAAAAATTAGGGCATTTTTTCAGTTTTCTTGAAAAAAAAATTTATAAAGATCGAAGGGGGGGTGTTTTGAGATAATCATCGTTTTACGTTTTTTTAAATACTAATTTACTAAGTTTTTCTTTCAGTGTATTTTTTCCGCAAAGATAATTTAACTACCTAAAACTTCTTCTCATATGCCATTTTGATCAGATCAATAGTTTTCAAGTTATGATTTTTTGAAAAAAAAATAATCCATTTTTTTATACGCCCTTTTCAAAAGTTACTCTGGAGGAAAAAATCATATTTAAATGAAAAATGCAACCATTAGTAGCAGCGAACACGTGAGCAATGTTTCATTCACATCAGAAGGGGTCGAGACAAAATTGACATTATTTTTAACGATTTGGGCTGGAAATGCTCCGATGTCAATTATACAAGGTCTGGCTTAACCGGCTTATAGGTATTAGTGAAATGAGGACATGTTTAGTGGTGTTCGTATTTCATCGCAATGTTTATCTTTTTGCACGAAACAGCTGTTTTCAGTGACGACACGTCAGCTATTCGCAATATGGAATGTTGTGCTGCCGTGACATCGCTTGCTCAGCAATGTTTACAACATTTTTGCTTCAAACATCAGCAAGCTGCCTGTTGTTCCAGACCTTGTATTATTGACATCGAAATAAGGCCCGTGATGTTGCCTACTGTCAAACGAATTGCATTAATATAGGGTTGCCAGCATTTACATTCTCTTGGGTTCAAGGATCAGGATGTCGATTTATGTAAGGTAGAACAGCCCATAATGCACCCCCGGGGTAAAATGCCCACTTATAGGAAACAGCGATTACTTTTCGCAGCGGCGCTGGTGGTGTAGTGGTAAGCGTGATTACCTCTCTTGCACTTTCCGGGTAACTGATTGTTTTTGTTTTCAACTGGAGGTTTCAAAAATAATTCTTGATCATAAAGTCATATATTGACCGATTAATTCCTTTGAAAAATTACATTCTGTATTAAAATTATCGACGCTTAAACAGTGCGTTTTGCACCATCCTACTCTATGTGCTTTTGACAGTAATAAATTACCGAGGGATCATATTTATTTACACATTCTCATAAACGCAATTTTTACAAAATGGTTTGGTTGGGGGATTGTAATTTAATTGTAATTTAAAAAAACTCTGCAAGGGTGGGGGGTCCCCTTCAGGGACTCCCAGAGATGAATCAGCCTACGGCTGAAAGTATATTATGCCGGTAACCTCCAACTCAGATTAACTTTTAATTCCATCCCTGTTTTGTTTGGATGATGCGCAACATATTTGCTTAAAGTCGCGTTTAATAACTCTCTTAATGTCGAGATCAGCCGGAAATTCTTGATCGGGATTTAATCGGAGGATAATACTGGTTGGAGCTTACCACTATCGGTGTAATCATCACTCCATGATGATCCGAGAAGGACAATGGTTGTGTTCTGATATTTTTAACTACACAGATAAAAATTCAAAATTTTAATTGTGATGTAAACATTCATTCACGTAGACTTGTATTTCATTTCACGCAACCGAGCAACTTGCAAACAATGTTGTTTACAAAGATGAGCTTTTGTATACAATATTTGCTACATTGCATGAAATGTGTCAGAACTTTACATGATATATAATGTAAACGTATATGATATGTGACACTCCACACTAACAAATCATCGCTCACACTATTCTCATCCACTCACCAGACTACTTCCGTTCACCACCTTTCTTACCTCCGCCCTTCATTTCACTTCGTGATCTCGGTCGAGTCAACAATGAGTCAAGCACCGGCGATGGCTTCTCTCTCCTCCACCCGTCCCTTCTTGGTTCTCGATCAGCCTCTCTTCGCTATTTCATTTCATCCCGAGTTCTCGTTGTCTGTGGATATCTGCGTTGAACGTTTCATCGAGCTTTGGATACCATCCATCTTACTCTCACCCGCTTCACCGTGTTTTTGGTTTGCATCGTTTGACCCATTTGGTCGTGCTACGAATCGTACCTCCTTCCCATCCGGTTTCGAAGAAATTTCCTTGGTTTTCTAGGGCAATGAGGTAATCTTTAGTGTTGTAGTTAGTTCGGCATCCGTTCGAGAATTGTTCGCTTTTGCTCCGGACACAATCCCGCTGTATGATCCGTTGTTATCCGCTGATTTCATGGCCACCAGCTTGGCCACTTATTTTTCAGGCCATCGAAATAGATCCGAACCTTGAAATGCGCAATGTACAGGTTGGCTGGTATATCCTTCGCTATCTCTATATGGACACCACGAATACCATTGTATATGTATTTCCAAAAACGATTTTCAACGTATTCTTATTGGTTTTGTCCATTTTTAAACTATTCAGTGAATGGATTCCGATTGAAGGTTATGATCACACGAGGTGTGAAGAGTAACCCAGACGTTCAGTTTGAATAGCACTGATCACAACACGTGAGCCGGTGCCGGTGGTGTAGTGGTAATCGTGACTGCTTTCTAACACCCCAATGGGTCTGGGTTCAATCCAAGCCGAGGTCGGTGGGATTTTTCTGAGGCATAAAAATCTCTGGTCACGTGTTCCTTCGGAAGGAATGTAAAGCCATTGGTCCCGGCTAAAGGAAAAAAAACAACACGTGTTGCCTCAACAAAGTCCGAGTGCTAACTGTTTCAAGCAGATTCTTGATAAAAATTGAGGAAAATTTCTTCACTTTACGAGTTGTCTGTGCTTCTGAAAATTAGAGTAAATCTTGGATATCAAATTTGAGTCGGATCGCAATAGCCAAGAAAAAGATGATAGAGGAAATGTTACTAATGTTGGCATAAGATTGGGCCCATCGCTAAAAATCTGCTATTTATCAATTTTATCTAGATGAACGCGTTATTGAGACGTTACTAATGGATTTTTTTGGTTGCTTTTGAAAATTTAGTCGATTGCTAAAATTATGTATGGGCCCAAATTAGGGACACTTAGGCCGACATTACCCCTATGTAAAGATTTATTGCCGATCTGGCAAACGCACCGAGAAACGTTAGTTCTAGCGAGTTATTAACAAAAGAGAAAATCGACGAAGAGAATCGATCATCGCGTTTACGCCCTTATGCATGCTCACTGTCGAATTATTATGTGAGACCTAAGTTGTTTTTTTTTTTAATTCTGTGATGGAAATCAAATACCGTGTGGGACCGATAATTAACATAACTACGACGAAACAACAAATTCGCGCCTCTATAAGTTTTGCAAGATGTTTCTAATGCGTCCTTTAATCATCTACATTGCAGGAAACTACGGGCTCTGTGCTCAGGAATGAACTCGTGGTTGACAAAGGAGCGTCGATTCAAGTGCGACCTTCACTGGAAGCACTAAAACGAGAATCGCAGGAATTGGAAATTCAAATCAAACAGTTACAAGTAAGCATCCTCCGTTGTAGATCTTTCTTCATTAATCTTTCCCCTCAAGCTTTGTTTCATTCTCCTACTTATTGCCTCTAGCATGGATGTTGTAATTCATTCCGTCCTATTTCCATAATCGGTGTTTGTTGATCTTCCTAGACATCGTCAGTCTGTGATTTGGTTTGATTCATTTGTGCAGTCTAATAATGATTTTATGCAGTTTTGAAAGATTTTTCGTACCATTCATTGCATAGTTTTGAGAGTAAGATTGTTTATTTTTATTGTTTTTTTTTTCATTGTCTGTTGAAATTATTCTGTAGGATTCTGTAGACGCTTTAGTTCGATCGCAAATAAGAGGAATAGAAAGTCAGCTGTATAACAAAGCTAATGAAATCCAGGAGGATGTCTCTATGAAGAAGTTCGATCTACGAGCAAAACAAATACATCTTGCAGCTGTCAGAGCACAGGTGAGAAAATTAGTGTTTAATATTTAAATTGCACCGTAAAACTTACTGATATAGTTACTATGTGTCTGTTGTTAATGCTCGCTTTCGTTACTGATTGAGTTATCGTTACCAAGCATTACAAAGCATTTTTACTTTGATTAGTAATTTCGCGTCTCTAGTGTGCAGGTGGAGTGTGAGATTTTCTGGATAAAAGCACTCTGAAGCTTCTGAGCTTTCTCTCGCTCTGAAATATTTCAATATAGAAGAGAAACTCTTCGTTTTCTCTCTCTCTCCCCCCCCCCTCTCTCTTTATATTATCCTGATACAGTACATACTTAGAACCATTCAGCTTCTCCGTGGTTCGTGAAACAGATAATTGTAATAGCAGGATAAAAGTATATAGACGGCCATAAAATCAGCTATAATTCAGACTTGAACCCTATTCAGACAATGCAAGTTGTTTCTGTGCCATTTTTCTATACAGTATGTGATGGTTTTTTTTTACGAAAACTCTATAGGGTAAGTTGCCAATTGTTGTTCACCATCGGATTATTGCACAATTCACGTTGTCTACGGCGCATAATTTATCCACGACCATTAAATTTACCGATCAAGGTGACATGTTAATCATTGATCAAATGCTGAATGATATAAAATGTTCTTTTGATATTCGGTATTGGAAATATTGGGATTGAACTTGCTCAAAACATTGTTGGCATTTTACATATGATCAGGCGATTTTTTATTTTTTCAACTAATAATATTCAGCTTCAAAATAGGCTTTCACTAGCATAAAACCGAAGACATATCAAAAAGACTGACAACTTTTCCAGAATCACAGCGACAAATACAGTAGCGCTGCACTTGAGCGAAGGTGGAAACAACGCATAGAAAAATGAGCAAATGCATAAACCTTCTGAGGATGTAATCTTTGCTATCAAATTCGTTCGAAGCATTTGCTTAAGAGCGGCAGATGACGCAATTGTACCTGTCTCATCGCGGTCGTATGAGAAAAAAGAAGAGTTGCCAGTCTTCTTAATATGTTGTCTTCGATAAAACTTAATTAAGTTAAGTAATGTTTACAGGCAAATGTTCATTGCTCTATTGCAATATTGATTAGTCATGTCAAATTTAAAGGACAAACATTAATGTTTAATTAATTTGAATGGTTTTCTCAATCTAGGGTAACCAGGAAAAAATTACCATAAAATAATATAAAATCGCAACTAAATCGATCTTATTGTATGTATATCATACAAGTAAATTTAAAATATTGTTATTAAAATAGATCTCCAATACGTCCCATAGAGTATGAATGTTCAACCATAGAAAAAACAAATAAATGGCTCAAGTTTGTTCTGGCAAAAGTGATTTTCTGTACGGTTAACATACATAACAATTAACCCCCTTATTCTATTATGGATTTCCCCATTTACCATAGATTCGATTGTGGAAACAAGAAATTATATGGTTATGTTATCATTGTGGGCAATACAATTTGTTTTAAATACAATAAATTCTATTGTATGGTTACAATTTACTTCATTGTTCCTTTTTTACGGGAATCCAAAGGTTCAGTTATGCATTAGCCTGCCCGAAAAAAAATAATCATAATAAAACAATGAAACTTTATTGTTTAATTATTGATTGGAGAAAAATATATTTTAGATTTTTAACGATACAATGCTCAAACAACGCAACTTAATTTGATAAGATTTTCATTGTTGTGAACCATTAATTTCGTTGTGATTTTATGGTAATAAACAAAACTGTCCAATGTTTTTACAGTAAATATCATGGTTACAATGACAATGAAATTCATTGTATTTTTATTGAATTTTTTTTACGGGTGAGAAAGTCCTAAAAAAGAAATCCCCCACATTCCAGTCGAAGAACCTAGTAAATTAATGTTCAACAATTTGACCGTATTTAGACGCCCGGTCCTGGATTATTGTCTTTGGGGATAACGCCTAAAGGTATGCAACAGTTCATACAAAACAGCTACTGTGTATGTTTTCCTTCCATGGTTGATAATAACATTAATAAAATAACGGATATCGTGAGTCCAATATACCTGAAAATTACGTTCAATGTAGTGATGTATCCTTCTTGCTGAAAAATTGCATTCTAAGATGTATTTAGTCATATCAAATGGTGGTGTGCAATAATAAGATATCGATAAGTTTTAGGGCCAATGCATTAATTATGTCACGCTAAATCGAGAAAAAATTAACCCCCCTTCCCCCTATCGTCACGTTTTTCGTATACCTACTAATGCATTGCTTGTCACTAAATCTTAGACCCCCCTCCTCCCTTAGAGCGTGACATAATATATGCGTCAACTCTTATCGAATTTAAATCGCAAATGAGCTCTGGAAATGTTTTATCAATCTCTATCGAAGATTTCTTAAGGAAATTCCACTTCAAAAACGTTTTCAACCTCGTAAATTCGCTAAATAACAAACAGTGCGTGCATAGCTGTGCAAAAATTGGCAAACTTCCCTATAAGGTTTTTCGAGAGTGTTCATACAAACACATTTTTTGGTTAACGAAGGGTTACTATTGAATATATGCCAATAGCGGCGCCAGTGGTGTAGTGGTAAGCGTGATTACCTCTCACCCCAGCAGGCCTGAGTTCAATCCCAGTCGGCACCGCCGGGATGTTCTGCGGCATAACATCTCTGGTCATGCCTTCCTTCGGCAGGGAAGTAAAGACCTTGGTCCACGATCCATGAGATGATGGGTCGATAGGTAGGGTTCAGGTGTGGGAGCTGCCTTCCTGGCGTCGGTAGCATTGGTTTTTTTTTTTTTTTTTTTTTTTTTTTATATTTTTATTAAGGAGACTTTCAGCCGTTGGCTGGCTCGTCTCCGACAAAGGTAGCATTGGTGCTCAGCACGGAAAACAAGATCCCCACATTGTAAGACTCAGTAATATTAAACAAAAACCCCCATCAAATATTTAAATGGTCTGTATATTACTGTTCATGCTTACGTAATATATTTGTGAGACCCCCTTCCTTTCATGTGAGGAAACATAAAAAAATATCTAACACCCCTCCCTCTAAGTACTTACGTAATTATTGAAAGGCCCCTAAGTACAATCATACTCTATGACCAGAGATGTCGAGGAATTTTCCAACCCGAAAAATTCCTAGGCAGGACCGGGAATCGAACCCAGTTGCCTTCATCATGGTCTTGCTTTCTAGCTCCGCCTTTACCAACAGAGCTAAGGAAGTCCTCATCGAATTCTATTGTAGCCGAATATTTGGTACATCCCTAGTTTTTTATTATTTAATTTTTTGCTAGGAAGTATCTACAACAACCCATCATCTCATCTCCATTGACCTTAAAGGGAAATATCCGCTCAGAAGCTTGATTGGGAAAAGCTCAGTGTGCATATTTGCTGTGCGATCAAACGAAATGATTTGCAGTTGTTGTAACGCCCTTATTCAATAGATGCACGCAGTTTATGCTAGGCAATTGATTTCATAGCGTGTACAAATTTTAAATATTTCATTTGCATCTTAATGGCATGCATGTAATTGCTTAATATACAGTGCTTAATTGATCGATTTTTTTTTTTTTTTTTTTTTTGAATTATGACTTATGAGTTAATCAGAAAGAACAAAATTAGACACTGAAGTACCGTAATCCAAGGGCAAATTGATCACTTAAAATAACGTACAATAAACAAAATTAGCAAACTAATGTTATTAAAATCAGTAACTTTGAGGTACCTACCGTTACGTATAATTACTTATCACATTGAGTGTTCAGTTTATTATTATCAAACGACTGACAAATAAATAAATTTTCAGTAACGGTTCTTATTATATCAAATTACATAAACTTAAAACAGAATACATACAAACGAGATATGGTGTAGCAGAGATTTTTTTTAAATCTAGCGTTCGGAATTATAAGGGGCTAATTGCAATGATCAATTTTCGTCATCAATTTCTCCTTTGTTAATAACTCGGCTGGATTAATATTTCTCGGCATATTTACAATTGTTTTTACAAGCCAATTCAATCTTTTCCAGCTGTACAGGAACAAAAAATCGGTGAATTGATTCACTTAACTAAACAGTTCATTTTTCATATTAATTTAGTGGCCCTGATATTGGCCTATAGGCAGTGATTTAATCACATATACATAATCTGCTTTTAAACAAAACCATGAGCCTAATAAGGACACTTTAGCCAATACAGGAATCACCTATACTGCCGCTCTTCGCATGTCCGTCCCATAGCAAAAAAAAAGCAAGCCAAGAAAATTACATTTAAGTTTGATTTGTACCATTTGTTCTTATGTGATGGGACTACTTATTGGGCTGTCTTGGCAAATTTTTCAGAACAAAGCTGTTGAGTTTATCCAGTATTATGAAAACATGGGTGATCAGCTACCATTTGCATTGAGAAACACAAAATTTGACAAAAAGACTTTTGGACCGACATGCGAAGATCGGCAGTGTAGCCAGCATACAATTCTAGAGACAATGGGAATTCAGATTAGGAAATTTCTCGATATAATAGCACAGGCTTTGAAGCTTACAAGAGCACTAAGTTGAGGACAGGAGCAAACATCCAGTTGTGACGTGATTTGAAAATTGCACCGACAATTCCTGAACAATTAAATCATTAGATTTTATAATGATGTTTTGTATTTCTTAGTTAAAAATTGTTGTGAAGGTGTTCCATTGTGTTGGTTTTTTAATATGCCTCTGGAATCCGAAATCTTCCCTAAAATATGTAAAAGTTCTTTCCTAGCACTAGACCAAGTCAAATCAAGCTGAACATTGCAATAGGTCCTAAGTAACATTTACAGATTCGCTTCGTCGACTTTCTCTTTGTATCCCCACGGCCATGTAAAGACATTCCCTTTTCAACACACAGATCGATAAAAGAAGCTTTTATCTAGCATCTAATACGACACACACAACAATAAACGGTTATGTCCTCAAATTAATAACGAAAGATAAAGTCAGCGAAGAGAACCCATCAATGTTAATTAGGACCTAA